CAGAGACCTAAATCAGTGTACTAATTACAAGTGGATGGACTACTTCCGATTGGAGCTGAAAGTCACACTTAAGTGCTTTAATAATTTATATTATTTAAAAAAAGTGTTACAAACAATTGTAGTTACTTTTTCATGTGGAATTGAGTGGGTTTCCTTCTGAATGCTGATCATGAATTCACTACTTTCAAGCACAGTGGTCGAGCACGGCAAGGTCCCAGCTAAAAGCACCAATGGCTGGGTCACAGGTGCTACTATTCTTTCTCATCCCCCCTCCCTCCCCCAAGGCCATCAACCACGCAAGGGACTATTTGGTTAGAAAGCAGACTTACAAAATCAATCGGGGGGTGCCTATTTTATATCTAAGAGTGGGTGAACAACTATCAGGACGAGCTGTTTTATGAATAACTGACCAGGTACTCAGTAATCCAGGGTGTACCCCGCCTCTAGCCCAATAACAGCTGTCATGGGCTCCAGGCCCCCTCCCGACCCAACTAGGCATAAGCGGATAAGAGGCGGCTAAAAGAATGGAAGGATGGACAATCCACTTTGGCTGTTAACCAAGTTTGGCTGGATATTCCTGAAGCAAAGTCACTCGAGCAGCAAAAGCGAAAGTGACTGTTTAAGAAACTATGAAAATATTGGAAAGCAGACAGATTCCTCTGACAAGAATGTTAGATGCGAATATAACATTGTATTTAAATACTGCACTACAGAGCAAAAATGGCATAATTATTTCATTAGTGAGCTGAAACATGACCCACTACATCTGAAAATATCACCCACTTTTATTTTCTAATATTAAACACAAAAATTATATTATTGGGACTTTGTCACACCAAGCTTTTGAAATATTGTGGATAAGCTAGAGTGGCCTGTTCACTGCTGGATGATCTACTTTGTTAACAATTTTTTTACACGAAACACCTACAATTCAATTTCAGTTTTTCTGGAGTAATTTGAATTATTAGATGTCTGAACTGTTTGACAGAGATAGAGAGGGATGGCTGCCCTTTGTCTTCTGAAAGTTTATTCTTAAGATTCACAAAACACTCAAGAGAGAAACTACAAAATCTTTATTTTTAGTAATTGAACTTGGCTTTTCAAATGTACTCAAACTTATACATGGGGTTTTATATCAATATTTAGCTTGTAATAATAACACTTTTACTTCAATAAAGCCTCTGAATAATACCTCTAGCGATAGTTTGTAAAAAAATCTATACTCTTTTTAATTCAAACCACTACCATTAGTGATAAGAAATATATGGATAAAATGGAAGTTATAGCAGTGCTATAACTTCACTTTCACATTATCCTTTTACTCATACTGACAACATAGTAAAGGGCACGTGATGTGTATAAGACAACCGCATCTTATCCAAATGTTGGGGGTAAACATACAGCGAGTCTGCCCCGCCCCGCATGCATGCAGAAATGCGTGATGTGCTAACTGTGACAATGACATGTACAAACAAGAATTTAATATGAATCTACAAGAGAATTTCAAATAAAACGAAGCCAAACGCCAGTGACGACAGAAAGTAACTGGAACCAGCCAACAGGCAGTAAACCACTCATCTACCAATATAACTGAGCCAATGATGGCGAGTTGTTCTGCAAAATGATAGCCACATCCGAAAAACAAACAAAAACACGCGTCGTAGAATTGCTCTCCTAACTAAAACTTAGCTACGTAGCCAGAAGGCCAACAACAGTCGCAGATAAATTCTGCCAGGCTGTGAAAAAAGCAGCCCAGGTCGAGCTAACGTAAGGCTAGTCGTAGCTTCGATGTTGCATGTACACATTACCTGACAGAAGTTATCACAGTATTCTGTGGAAGATGCTACGGATATTTCTTGTTGCCTGAGTACGTCTTCGAAAGCTCTCAGCGTGGCCAGCAACGTTTCCATTGCGATTAGAGTGTCTTCGGCTGCGTCCAGGGCCCACTCGCTCCATTCGTGCTCCGCTTCGACATTATTCTCCGCCATCTTCGCTCTTCGCCACGGCGCGTATGCAGTGCAGTCTAACGCTGCCTTCAAGTGCTATTGGAATTTCTACGCCCGTCAACTGAACTTCACCTGAGCAGCCTGATGACAAATAATCTACTGGGACCCGAGGAGAGTGAGAAGAAGAAGAAACAAAAAAATGCATAATAAATAAATAATTTAGTTTGCTAATACTGATACAATGTGGTAACAAAGTACAGAATTATCAAAACGTGGTGCATACAACGACAATGAGATGTCAAACTACATTTGAGTAAGGATTTGGAGGCAAAAACTGACTACTGAAATATGCATAGTTAACCTTAAAAAAGTTACATGTACAGAGGAAGCTAGTTAAGACTAGATAAACAATTATTGGAAGCACCCTTATACAGATGACGAATGGTTAGAATAACTTAAAAACTAAATGCATGCAACCACAATTATGTGGACAAATAAGCAGTAACAAGGATGCAGAACAACGCTAAACATCAGCAAGATAAACTACTAGGAGTACAATCAAAGGGTTGTCGAATATAAGGAACTGCTTGCTGTTTATTCTTGTTATTCTCTAACATATTCCCATTTGAGCGTTTAGTATACTGAAGATACAACAAGACATGATCAAATCGTTTGCAGACCATCTTTTTGCTTATCTACGTTATCGTTGAGTCAGTACTGCTCTTGGTTTTAGGACATTGCGTTTAAGAATGTTATATTTGGTGCCCCCTAGCGGTTATCAGGTGTACTTCCTTGTCCTATTAACCCGGAAGTGTAAACAATATCTATCCGCCTCACGTGTGGAAGGTAAGCACACTACGACGTGTTTCTTTAGAAACTCTGTTATATTAGTGATCGAATATGTGCATCAGTATTTTGCAGATGAATTATGTTAGTTTTTGTTGCAGTGACACGAACTAGCTTCTCTGTTGTCAGAAGGAAATGTTGGCCTTTGTGCCGCAATGTTTGTCTTTTTGTGATAAAAAAAACGATATAAAGCATTTGTGAAGCAGATGTAAATGCTAACCTTATGCTCTAGGATAAGTAAACCTATTTTGTGTGCTTATCTAGCCCTGCTGTGGCTACCATGGGGAAGTCCAAGCAAATAGGAAACCATAAGAGCGATAAAAAGAAGAACATCTCAAAGACATGGAAGACAAAGCGTAGAACCAAAGACTTGGACCAGATCCACTCAGACATGAAGCCAGAGACAGCTGCCAAATTGATGCATCAGGAGGTGGACTACGACGTAACAGGATGTGCACAACACTACTGCATACATTGCGCGTAGGTGTTTCTCTTTGTAGTTTTAGTTTAACTGGTGGGTTTGCACTGTAAAATTGGTTATTTATAAAAGA